GAAACTGAGCATACACTGAATTTCTTTTGAGTGTATTTTTTTTTTTGGTTTGTTATGAATTGTTGTATTTGGCAAAGCAAATCCAAATCACCCTTGAACTGCCATTTCTTTTGGATTGACCTAGGCTTACCTGAATCTTTAGATTTAATTATTAATGAGTAGCCAATATGAAAAATGCCAATGCTTATTATAACTACAGTATACAAAAGTTCATGAAGCTCTGCACATACACCAGGAGCTGCTTTTTGCTGGACATCACTGAAGGACAGTCGGGGACAAGGGAGTTCACCATCACAGTTGCGTTACGGACTTGACTTGACATTCTGTTTTTACCAATTGGGAGCGCCTGATGTTTCATTTTTAAACTACTGGTATCATTTTTTTTCTAATTTTTTCTAATGTGTAGCTTGTACTGCCAGATCAAATATGTGCAGTTGTAATTCTAGTGTCACAAGCAACTGTGAGAACACTTTGGAAAGCCAGCCATGGTAATGCTCACCTTTAACCCCAGCACTCAGGAGGCAGAGGCCTGTAGAGCTCTCTGAGTTCATGGCCAGCCTGGTCTACAGAGTGAGTTCTAACCTGTTAGAGCTGCACAGTGAGACCTTGTCTTAAAAAAAGAAAGGAAAAAAAAAAAAAACTTGGGAAAGACCACTTTTCCTTTTAGGAAGTCATGGGCTTATTTATATTTTAAAAATTCAGAATAGCTGCCCTGTGGCCTAAACCATAAATTACAAAAACAAAACAAGCAAACAAACAAAAGACAGCAATATGCAGATATTCCACTAATATAAATTGTTTGATACAGTAGTGTGGGTAAATTCTGCATTAACTTTTTAAGATAAAAACATTTACAGTTCACAGATGGTATTTTAGTTGGTGCTTTTTTTCCCCCTGCAAACTTGAATTTTTCTTGATGAAGCCAAAGTTAATGAGGAAGAATGCTCAAATTGAGTAGTATGCATTGTTTTATTTAATATCAAGTTGATTAAAATTAAGTTTTATTCATGTCAGAGTTTAAACCACGTATTTTGAATACCTGAATGTTTGATATTATTTTTAAATCATGCCAGTGCCAAGAGTTAATAAATTCTTGCAACTGACCCCTATGACCTGCACAAGTCCAAAGTGGGTAGTGCAGGACCAAACTGTGCTATCTGAGATTTTTAAGTTGGGAAATCCTAATGTTTTGAAGTAGTAAGAGGACTGAGTGGTTAATATGGAGTCCTTTAACTCCAGCTGCGGATCCAGCAGCAGTGAGTGGCTGCCTACTGGCCCAGGCCTTGCGTTCAGTCCTTACCAATGCAAAGAACAAATTTCGACGTGCAGTCTGCATCTAGAGAGCCTTAAGGGAGTACTTTGAAAGTGAAGTGTTAACTGTGCTTTAGCCCATGTATAGAGCTGTGGTGATGTGACCTTAGTCAAGAAACACCAGATTGGATTAACTAATCAGTAGTGTAGATAATTTTTGTTTTTCATATTTAAAACAACCCCCCTTCATTCCTAATTAGTTTATAATGAGCTAAAGAAACAAATCTGGTTTGTATTTTTTTTCCAAAGTGTTACACATAATAAAAAGTTTTGTTGTAGTCTTTCATGAAGAAATTTGAGGGTATTTTTTATTTCTATAATGGTCATTCATTTTAAGAATTAAAACAAAACAATGTACTCCCTAAATTTATGTAGGTTATTATGGATGTTTAACAATACCAGTATACATGTTAAGGTTGCAGTCATAGACAAAGTTGTAGTGGAAAGTATGTGGAAAATGCAGTAATTTAAGAAATACTCATTGTCTCTTGTATAGTTTAAAGATGGTATGTTTCCTGGATTTTTTTAAAATTTCTTTTTTTTTTTTTAGAGGATGACAGACATTTGAAATGTGATTATCTAATTTTTATAACAATGGACTAAATAGGAATAACTTTTTTAAAACAATGACTGTTTTGTATAAACTTAAGTGCAAAAGCTGTGAAATAAAAAGGCATTGTCTTCTGGCCAATGCAATGCACTGTGGCAGTGCAGTTAGTTCAGGACCCAACTCTGCAGCCCTTCTCATGTGCCCAGTCTACTAGAGTTATGGGCTGCCACTCCACAGGTCTTCCGTCTGTCTGCTCCTTCGAAAGCTGGGCTTCCCAAAGCACTGTTGAACACAGAAGGTTCTGTTGGTGTGGATATTAATGAGTTGTATTTTAAATATCAGAGATTATTAAATAAAGAGAATGGTTGCTTTTCTATTAACCTTTCTGTGTTCATTGTTAATTCATGGCCTTGCTATTCAGAGTCTCTTGGGAGACACAGCTGCACGTCTGTCTTGTGGGAACGTTTCCCAATGTCAGTTTCAGGTCACAGTCAGACCCACTGTCGCTGGAACTTGGGGAATCTGTGGAGTTGCGTGTTTTTATGCAGCTGCAGTGGTGCATGAAGCAGATTCCTCTCAGAAAATATATTACCACCCGATCCCAGATACACAAGCCTTCCACAACTTTAATTGCTTGCAAGGCCTTTCTTTACACCTGTGCCATCTCCTCAGCCACATTCTTCCTTGAAATCTGGTTTTAAATGTTTGTTCAGTTCTTAACCTTGAGGGACAAAGCACATCAATAACTGGTTTTTATAAATCTGAGGCTTTTTCTATATAGCCTTAACTGATTTGGAGCATTTGGTCTCTTGCTTCGGACTCCTGAGTGCTGGGTTTGCAGGTTTGTGCTATTGTGCCTGGCTAGCATTGTTTCCTCTGGACCATTCTCTACACTGTGCCACGGACCTGAGCCACCCTTTGTCTCTCGGGTCACCACAGAGAAAGTGAACCATCTGTGTGCTTACCCTTGGCCATGGATTGTTCTAGGTTCTTAGAAATAGGCTTGAGTAATATTACTTATTCAGAATGTGAATGTTCTCAAGGCCTGTGCTGTACGAGAAATGTTTAATACACGACATGACTCAGTAGTGATGAACAAAGTGTATATAGTCTATTAGCTGCCTTTCTCGCTACTGTGACAAAATGCCTAGCAAGACACAACTTAGAAATGATCAGTTTGGGCTGACAGTTTCTGAGGGTACAGGCCCTCATGGCAGGGAGGGCATAGCAGCTACCACATGTTGGTATTTTACTCTTTTGGGGGGCCCACCACCCAGCTCCCAAATAAATCTCACATGGAGACTTATTCTTAGTTATGAATGCTTGGCCTTAGCTTGCCTTGTTTGCATGCCAGCTTTTCTTAACTTATCCCATCTATCTTTGGCCTCGGGGCTTTTACCTTCCTCTATTTCTCTATCTTTTCTTTCCTTCTTACTCCGTGCCTGGCTGTGTAGTTGGATGACTGGCCTCTGAAGTCTTCCTCTTTCCTTTCTAGTTTCCAGACCCCTTTCCCCCAGAGTTCTCCTCATAATCATCCTCTTTGCCTGCCGGCCCCACCTGTTTCTCTCTTCTGCCTCCCTATTGGCTGTTCAGCTCTTTATTAGACCATCAGGTGTTTTAGACAGGCACAGTAACATAGCTTCACAAAATTAAATGCAGCATAAACAAAAGGAACATACCTTAAATAGTATTCCCCTACAACCACATCTTCCATCTTGGCAGGTCAGGAAACAAGACTAGACAGGTTTTGAGGCTGTCCTGTAACCTTCCAAGACCTGCCCCTAGTACTACAGCGAGGCCTCACTTAAAGAGTTCCATAAGCTCCCCAAACAGTGCCACCAGCTAGGGATGATGTCCACTTCAGGACATCTCACTCAAACCACACCAAGCCATGCAATATAAACATTGATGACTTCTCAGTGATTATAACACTATTTAAAGCCCAGAAGGAAAGGGAATAGGGACATGTCAAATACTCTGTTTTTTCATAAAGGCAATGGGTAGTATTTAGTATTAATGAGGAAATGTTGGGAGTGGAAGCATATATCTTTAATCCTAGCACTTGGGAGGTAGAGATAGGTAGATCTCTATTGAGTTTGAGGCCAACCTGGTCTATAGCAAATCCAAGTAGCCAGGCTACATAGTGAGATGGGGGTGGCAGGAAGGGGGAAGGTACACTGATAGTATTTTCCTGACTTAGGGGTTTACTACTTTGAACCACTGAGGCTTGGGGCTTCTCTGAAGTGTTTATTTGTGCTGTGTTGATCTTGCAACTTCCTGAATGGTGATCAAGAACACTCAGGCTAACTATTGGGGTGTTTGTGAGGATCAGAAACACTCTAGCTAACTATTGGGGTGTTTGGGAGGAAAGGGAAGAGACATCTGTGATGATTTATCTTGGATGTCAACTTGACTGCCTGGGAAGAGGGAGGTTCAATTGAAGAATTGCCTCCATCAGAGTGACCTGTGGACATGTCTGTGGGTACTATTTATTTTATTTGATGCAGGAGGATCAGCCACTGCGGGTGAGACCATCCTTAGGCAGGTGGGCCTCTACTATACAAATTCTGGGCGTTCCTGCCGAGACTTTCCTCTGATAGATTGTAACTTGGGAGTTGTAAAATGAAATAAATTCTCCCCTCCAACTTGCTTTTGGCTATGTTTTTTTTTTAATAGCAACAGAAAACCAAACTAGAACAGCATTTTAAAATCAAATGTATGTTATCAAATGTATGTTTTTAAGCTTAATAGAAAAAAATTCATTTAAACATATGTAAAAACAAGATTAATAGCCGGCCGGTGGTGGCGCACGCCTTTAATCCCAGCTCATAGGAGGCAGAGGCAGGTGGATCTCTGTGAGTTCGAGACCAGCCTGGTCTACAGAGCTAGTTCCAGGACAGGCTCCAAAGCCACAGAGAAACCCTGTCTCAAAAAAAAAAAAAATGACTACTCCACCTAATTTCAATCATGACTAATATCTGACAATAACTTATCATTTTATTTTTTCCCCAATACTTATTTTATTTTTTGAGACAGGGTCTCACCATGTTACTCTGGCTGGCTTTGACCTTACTATGTATACCAGGCTGGCCTGGGGCTCATAGAGATCACCTGACCCTGCTTGGCCTCTGACAATTTTTTTTTTTTGTAATTCTTCATGAATTTGTGTGTCATCCTTGTGCAGAGACCATTCTTATCCTCTCTGTATTGTTCCAGTTTTAGTATATGTGCTGCCAAAGTGAGGGGTTATTTTTGTTGTTGTTTGCTTGTTTTTGTTTGTTTGTTTTTCAAGACAGCGTTTCTCTTGTAGCCCTGGCTGTACTGGAAGAGTCACTCTGTAGACCACACTGTCCTCAGACTCACAAAGATCTGCCTGCCTCTGCCTCTCCTGAGTGCTGGGATTAAAAGTGTGCGGCATCACCATCTGGCTCTGGCAATTCTTTTAATGTATGTGTGTGCATGTATGTGTGTGTGTAGGCCAGAAGACAACTTCGGGTGTCACCCTCAGGAAAGTCGTGCATTTCTTTGAGACAGGGTCTCTCACTGACCTAGAAGTCACTAATTAGGCTAGCCTGGCTGGTCAAAAAGCCCCGGTGATCTTCCTGTCTCTGCCCAGCGTTGTGGCACATACATGTGCTACCATGCCTTATATGGGTCTGGTGATTGAATTTAGGTTGTCATGTCTGTGAGATACGCACTTTGCTTAACTGAGCCGTCTCCAACCTGGTTTCTGACAATTCTTGTCTCATGTTCCCTCCATCTTTTTGAAGTACATCAAGAGACCATATCATGCTACTTATCAGGGTAATACATTAAAGCACTTGGGCATTATATGGAAAAAAAAATCCCCCCAAAGGAAGTTGTAGAGCAGTGTTTCTCAACATGTGGGTCACGACCCCTGTGGGTCTAGTATCAGATATCCTCTATATTTACATTATGGCTCATAACAGTAGCAAAATTACAGATATGATCTAATAATGAAAAAAATTTTCAAGACAAGGTTTCTATGTGTAGCCCTGGCTGTCCTGAAACTTGCTTTGTAGACCAGGCTGGTCTCCAACTCACAGAGATCTGCCTGCCTCTGCCTCCTGAGTGCTGGGATTAAAGGCGTGTGTCTGGCTCGAATGAAATAATTGTATGGTTGTGAGGTCACCACAACATGAGGAACTGTATTGAAGGGCTGCAGCATTAGGAAGGTTGAGAACCACTGTTTTAGGATGTAACATTTGGACTAATAATAAATGATACAAAAGCTTACCGCGCATTTTCTTCATTCATTACGTTAATTTTGTAGCACAGTGTGAATTTATGAACACGTGTTTACCTTTCGAGGTGGGGGGGATCTGAGAGAATGGAGCTGAGAAGTGAGGTGGACTAAAGCCTCATACAATAGCCAATTTTATTTATTTTTTTAAAAAGGTTTATTTATTATGTAGACAGTGTTCTGCCTGTATGTCTGTCTGCAGACCAGAAGAGGGCACCAGATCTCATTATGGATTGGGAGCCACCATATGGTTGCTGGGAATTGAACTCTGGGCCTCTGGAAGACAACGAGTGCTCTTAATTATGGAGCCATCTCTCCAGCCCTGCGATAGCTAATTTTATTCAGAGAATGAGACAGTTTATACTCTGAAGGTTAAGAGGAGTCATATGGGTAAAGTGTACAATCAAGGGCAGGTCAGAGGTGATGGGAAAGAAACCCTTACGTGGCAAAAACATGTTTTTCCCTTAGTGGCATCTAAACAACAGCCAGCTGTAATGGCTAATCTGCAGTAAACTCATCTGTATCTCATTTGTATGTATCCGCCACATCTGGGAGGGGCACAAAAGCACATTCCGAGAAAAATACCCTGTTTTTTGAAGAAAAGGAGGTCACAAATGCTTGTTTTGTTTTTTCACAAACACTCAGAATTCTCATACAGTTCCATTCTTGGACAGTGTTCTGACAGACACGGAGCTCCGGAGAGTTTAAACCTACAGAAAACATGAGCTTAATCACAGTTGCTGAACATTTCAGTCATTCAGGAGCCCAACGAAGTCCCGAGTACATGTCACTCATCATTGTATGCGCAATATAAGTCAGAGTCCTGTTAATGGCCTGCCAGTCCCTGTGACTTGCCTACTTCATACTTTCTAGGCCCTCGATTACAAATCTTCCCAGTCCATTCTGCTCAAGATGGTCTCGCCTTCTTATAAACTCTCAAAGCTGGCCAGGATATCCTGCCTAAAGGACTTTGTATTCAGTTGTCTCTTCCTGTCTAGACCCCCTGTATCTGTATATCTCACTTATTTAAAGTTTCTACCCAAGATTCCCTTATCATTGAGGCCTTAACCATCGTCTGCATAACCAGTGCCTCACTTACCATCCCATGCCCCTGTTTCCTTCCCCCCCTAACGTCAGTCATCAGCTCCTATCTAACACTACATTTTGTCTAGTTGTGCCCTCCGGTTTAGATGCAGTCTTTATAAGCTCACAGGCCATGCATCTTATCCTGCTCCATCCCCAGTGCCCAGAATAACAGTAGACATATTCATGTGAGGGTGATGCACGCTACATTTAAACAATGTTGTGCCGGGCGACGGTGGCGCCCACCTTTAATCCCAGCCCGAGGAAGGCAGAGGCAGGCAGATCTCTGTGAATTCCAGGCCAGCCTTGTCTACAGAGCGACTTCCAGGCCTGGCTCCATAGCTATTTAGGACTAAACACATACACACACACAGACACACAGACACACACACACACACACACACACACACACACACACACACACACCCTACCTCCCCCCAAATGTTGTACATGATGGTACATGTAATTCCAGTACTCAGGAGGTGGAAGTAGAAAGATCATTAGTTTGAAGCCCACTTGGGTTACAGGAGCTCCTGTCTCAAAGGTCGAGACTGTAGCTAAACCTATATGCATGGTGTGCACAAGTCTCCGGACTTAATCCTGAGCACCAAAAAAATTCATCAAATCAAGTTGAAGATTAGCTCATCAACCCCACCACTACAGACAATGTTCTGGTTTGCTTCTTTTCTTTGGTTTGTGCTTTTTCTCAATGCATTTTCTCGCCTTCCTTGCTACTATCCACACGTCCCTGTCCAACTCCTTGTTCTGGGACTCGGAAGTTTGAAAACCCCTTGGAGGCACTCAAGTAGATATCTGGTGAGATTATTCAGATTCCAGCAACAGATAATTCGGTAAGGGGTAATCAGATTCCACATACTGAGGATATTCCTAATGTTCCTTTCTGTACAAGGTAACTGGCGGGGCGGAGGTGGGGGGTGGGAGGGCGGGGCTGGACAGTGGTGGCACAAGTTTTTAATGCCAGCACTCGGGAGGTAGGCAGAAGCAGGTGGATCTAAGAGTTCCAGGACAGACAAGGCGACACAGAGAAACCCTGTCTCGAAAAACTAAAAACAAAACAAAAACGTGCTTTCTGCTTGGACTCTTGAATTGCGTTCCGCTTTTGCAGCTCTGCAGCTGTTTCCAAGGCTCTGGCACGGAGCCGACTCACAAAGGCTGGAAAATAGAGCAATGTGGGTGGGCTTCCCCGCGTGGTGGGAGGACCCTGTCGAATTGTCTCGCAGCCACGCAACAGCTCCTGTAGGTAGGATTAAGGAGACGTCCCCCCAAGGGCTGCCTCCCATCTACAAACAAACATAGTTGTGCTGGTGCTTCCACCGCCTCTTCCGTCTCCACCCCCGGCTGCAGGAACAGAAACGACCGTCTTGCCCGCCCACAGGCGGACCTCCGCAATCCCACAGTCCTTCGCGCCTAGGACGCGTCAGACAGCGGCCGTTTGACGCCACCCGTCACCGAGGATCCCAACAGCCCCTGCCACTTTGCCGGCGCTGTTGTGGCGGCCGGCGTTGAGTTGGCAGGACTGTCCCAGGAAACTGATGAAAGTCACTAAAGTTGACAAAGAGTGCTCCAGTCGGTGGGTGGGAAGTCGTGGGAAGGGGCAGAGGCCCCGTTCGGCGCCCACTGCGGCGAGCCCTTGGCGAAGCGCCCGGCCGGGCCTCGGCTTTGACGCGGCCGGTGGTGGGAGTGCCGCGTCCTGCGAGTCCTGGTGTCTGGATCCACACCAGCCGCGGGCGTTCGGGGACATTTGGAGCGGACACCGTGCTCTCCACCCGCAGCCATGTCCTCCTGGTTCGGGGGCCTCGGCTCCGGCTTGGGCCAGTCTCTGGGTCAAGTAGGGGGCAGCCTGGCGTCCCTCACTGACCAGATTTCAAACTTCACGAAGGATATGTTGATGGAGGGCACGGAGGATGTGCCAGGTAACAGCTGGAGCGAGGCGGGAGGGCTCGGCTGGACCCTGAGAAAGTCCTCTTGGTTCTGGGTTGGTTGCCGATCCATCGGCAGCCGCGGACGGGTCTCTTAAGGAGTGGCCCCGCATGTTTTCCTTTGCCCTCCACAGCCGCTTTTCCAGTCTGCGGGACCACCCGTGGAGACTTCTGGGTGCCCCCGTCCCCAACCCCATTGGAAACCCTGGATAGCTCAGTAAAGTGGAGATGCTACTTTTACGCCGAAGAGGGACTTAATTGGGCTGTCCATGCTTATTTCTTATGCCCTTATTTTTGGGGGGCGGATCTGATTTTGATCCTGTTCCTTAATTTTTTTCTTCAATACTCATAATTAAACATAAGGTGACCCCTGTCCTGTCTTTAGCAAGGTGTCAGGTGAATAGGGCTGTTTATCTCTTCAACTATTTTTTGATTTTGCTCATGGTGAAGACACACTGCAGCTAAAAATAATATTTTTGTGTTGGATTGCACATTTCTCCCATATTTTTGACAGAACCAGTGAAATACTTTCTACTTTGTCCTTTTGAATATTCTTATCTACTTCACAAACTTAAAATTATTTAAAAATTATTATTATCATTATTATTATGTGTGTGTGTGTAATGTGTGTGTGTGTGTGTGTGTAATGTGTGTGTGTGTGTGTAATGTGTGTGTTCCGGTGTCTGTGACACAGCGACCACATGCGGAGAGGTCAGAAGAGAACTTGGTGGAGTTGTTCTTTTTCCACCTTTAGGTGGGTTCTGGGCCTGTAACTTAGTTCTCTAGGCTGGCATGGCAAGTGCCTTTACTCACGGATTCGTCTAGCCAGCCTCCTTCAGTCATTTTGAAGTCATCATTTTCCTGTCTTAATGAATGGTGACCTAAAATTGAATTGTGGTCGGTGATTAGGTTAATTACTGTTCTTGACACTGCTTTGTGTAGGTAGGGGTTTTAA